TTGCTTTTGGAGACTCAAGTCTCTTTGTTGCTCATTTTAAGCAGACAATATCATGCCTGGTTTTGCTTTGCTTTTGATTTACCTTTTAAGAACACCAGGAGTGAAATGGAAAGCTGGAGGCTGCGAGGAGAAGAAGGAGACAGGAGAAGCTGTCCTGGTGACTCAAGGAGGCAATGTGGTGCTTTGTCCAGAGCCACTGAGATGCACCCACAGCCTGTCTTCCTAGGACAGCCAGCCCTTGGCCTGTCGGACCCTCTTTTCCCAGATGTGTGGGGGACTGAACCTGTCTGGAACTTTACATCCCCTCCTAGACTGCCCCCAACCACCAGAGTTGGTCACAAGAGACTGGCCCTTGGTCCCTTCCCTGCAGTGCGACAACTCCTTAGTGGGACCAGGCCAGGGTTATCCTCCAAGGTCCTTGTCTGAGATCACACCCTGCCTGGCTTCCTCCCACCCCTGTCCAACTTCCTCCCCTTCCTTATCGTTTTCCGGGAGCCACACTTCCTTTGGAAATTCCTTATATGTGAACCTTCATCTTCGAATTTGCTTTGGGATAGGGAAGGGGAAATCTCACCAATTTTTTTTTTTTTTTTAAGAAGGGAGGGCAGGCCTACAAGAGTTTTGCACCATCCACATGTGGAGGGCGGTGATCTTGTCGGCATCATATAGTTAGATACTCAGATGCCTCCTGGTCAGAAAATTAAAGGGGACAAGAGGAAATGATACTGTCCACGCAGCAAGGAAATGGCCACGGCAGAGCCAGGAGGCTTTGCTTTTGGACTGCGTACATATGTGCTCATGTCTCCAACCTGCTCTGAGAACTGAGCCCTGAGCCAGCAGGTCTGGAGTGGAAGTGGAGGTAAAAATACACCACGTGCCTGAAAGATGAAACTGGCCTGAGTGCACTGCATCCGTCACTGACTTCCTGGCTGGGAGGACTGGCTGGGCAGGAGAGGCAGGGAGGGGATGCTGTTGGGCCAGGAAAAGTAAAAGTACAAACACAATACTGGGTGGGCTGGCTTGCCCGATGGGGAAGCATGCTCAGGTTGTGTACTGCCATAGGATCTGAAAGAGAAAAGAAAATTTGACATAGCAAGAGAGAGATTGAAAGATATGCAGAGGCCAAGAGATTTGTGGACACATATGAAAGCTAAGACACACAAAGACAAACTAAGAAAAGGAGAGACAAGGAGAGAGACCCAGAGAAAATTGCCAAGGGATAATCTTGGCGACTCCGAGGGGTGCAGGCAGCATCCAGAGCTGAAGATGGTACAGCCAGCCCCAGCCCTTCCAACCAGTGAACAAAACTGCAGATCTGTAGTCCACCCTGAATCCAAGTGGAGGGTCCCAACATCTGAGAGAGTATTCAGGCCAGGTGCAGAGCAGTGCA